AGAAAAGCTGCCATGCTCAGGAGGAGCAGAGGGAAGGGGCGCACAGGGAGGGCAGCCAAACCTGATGCTCACCCTGGCCTGACTCCAAACTGGGGTTTGGAGCTTTGGGGCCAGCCACAGCAAGCTGCGATTGAGGTAACAAATGCAAATATGAGGAACCAGGAATTTCTCCATCTCCCCCTCTTCTGAGTGATCGGATCTGTTTCCTTTATTCTTGCAGAGAAATAGCCCAGTCCTCTGAAACAACAAAGTATCTGCAACCACAGCTTCCCTTCTGAGCGAAATAATGAGAGAAGTAGAAAGCCATGCAGAGCCCCAGCTGGAACCTGCTTTTGGGTGGATGCAAAGCTGCAGCCCGCACACCACAGCAAGGGCAGCTTCCCCAGCTTCAGGGAAACGCTCTTGGCCCCAAAGGTGAAGTGCAGAGGGAACCAGCTTGGGGCTCGGTGCCTTTGGGAAATCCCGCTGCAGATTTTGGTCCCTGCTGCAAGACACAGTTCACATGGGCTGCAGGGGATCAGCAAAGCGAAGTTGGAGAGCATACCCTCGCCCCAGGGCAGTGCCCCCACCGCTGCCCTGGCCACTCTGGCCTGGCTGTTTGCTCAGACCATGGCATGGGGTGATGGTGAGAGTTTCTCTTCTCGCTCTCCTCACCAAACTCCCTGTTGCTGCTTGTCTGCTGCTCAGCATTTTCCTGTCTGTGCCCCCCCCAAAAAAAAGATCAGCAGGCAACCCTGTTGTAAGTGGTGTTTTGCTTCTTTAAGGCACCTGAGTCTGCCTTCCCCATTCAGGTTGCAGCAACTCATCCCTCCTCCTCGCTGGCTTTTCACTAATGGTTCTTGTAACTTTCTAAGAATTACATCCTGCTGTTCCCCAGATCATCAATAATGTTCCTTATTTCCCATTCTCTTACAGGAACAAGAATCCCGTGTGGTCCCTCATCTTCTTTCCTGTGTGGAGCAAGGAGCCAAGACCCAGACTGCATATGCAAGCACCCTCAGACTCAGTCCATGATGATGTTCCAAGCCCCATGTCACCCCACACAGCCCCAGGTCCCTGAGGCTCCCACGATTTCTTGCGAGCAGACAGTAACCCAGGGGAGCCCCGCTGCCACCAGTGCCCACCACCAACCGCCCCTGCAGCTTTAGGAGAGCTCCAGGTGCTATTTTGGCAGAGGGAGGAAGCGTGCTTGGGCCTCGCACATAGGAAAACAAGTCTCTGAATACCAGGAGGAAAAAAAATAATCACAGGTATTCACCAAGACCATTTTTCACACTGGATTTGGCCCTGTAAGGCACATTATCTGCTAGTGCTAGAGTAGCAAAATAAATCTGGCAAGAAAAGCCCACTGATTTCCTAATTACAGGGAGCAGGGACTGAACTGCAGCAGGAAGCAGAGAGCAGACATTACAGCAGGCATTACAGGAATAGCCCATCTGAAGAGCACTACATCCCCTTCAAGAGGTTCAGTTTTATAGCATTTTGTTGAAAATAAATTACATTCCCAGCAAAGACGTGAAGTCTCTTCAGCCTGGCAGAATCAAAACTGTGATTTTAGTAGGGTCGTCTAGGCTAATCCACTTCAGGGCAAACACAGAACCAACACTGTCCCACAGAATATTTTAGGCTGTTTTTAAGCATGAATTGCACAATATGGAATTAATTATTCTCAGATATCGTATTCTTCTGTTATTCCAGCTACACCTTGGTATGAGCATGACCAGTCTGAAATGCTATGGAAGACCCACGCCCCATCCACGGTCCCTCAAACGCTGCCTGACCTTTACACCCACCCCACATCCAGAAGAGAGAGTTCCTACACCCAACGCATGGGTAGGAAACACTTATCAAGAAGATGGAGATCAGGCACCAGGCTCGAGACATGCACACTGACCACAGCCTGCTTCAATGCATCCAGCCTATATCCCAACTTCTCTCCATGTTCCCTTGCTTGTTCTTCTTGAATTCCTCCCTTTCTCTAATGCTCCTCTAATTACCTTTTTCCTGTTGGGCCCAGTCTTGCTACATCTGTAGTCAAATTTGGTGTTTCTGATACCTGTTACTGCGCCACCTCCAGCTCAGGAGGTTCCACACCCTAGGTGGTCCCCATGCTCCTCCTCAATCATCTGTGAAGCTCAGCCACTTTTCTGGGTGCTCCCTAGAGCGGTCCAGCAGCTACCTGGTACCTGCTGCATCCCTCATATCACATCTACTCCTTTCTCCTTGTCTGTCCAGTGACCCAAACTGCAGACCAGGACATGATCATCTGCCTGTGTACCTTAACAGAGGTCGTACATTTCATGGAGACAAGCAGGTCACTGATCATTATGAAATAATTATTTTTTAAATTACCTAAAGAACTTGTTATTATCATAACTTGTTGTTATTTAGCCCGTTTAGTCATAGAATCACAGAATCCCAAGTTGGAAGGGACCACAAGGATCATCCAGTCCAACCTCTCAAGGTAAAAGTAGAGTTTAAATGAGATGAGTCAGCACCCTGTCAAGCTGACTCTTAAAGCTGACCAGTGTAGGGGAATTTACCACTTCCCCCGGAGACTGTTCAATGTCTGATTGATCTCATGGTAAAAAAAATCCTTCTGGAGTTCAGTCAGAATCTCTCCAGACACAACTTGTGTCCATTGCCCCTCATCTTTTCCATGGGACTCCTTGTGAAAAGGGAGTCTCCATCTGCTTGGTAGCCACCCTTTATGTACTGGTACATGGTGATAAGGTCCCCCCTAAGCCTTCTCTTCCCAAGGCTGAACAGGTCCAGTTTTCTCAGCCTTTCATCATATGGCAAGTCTTTCAGTCCTCTGATCATCCTCATGGCCCTTCAATGGACCTCTTCCAACCTGTCCGCATCTTTTTTGTATAGCAGGGACCAAAATTGGACCCAGTGTTCAAGGTGTGGTCTGACCAGTGCTGAGTAGAGAGGGATAATGACTTCTTTATCTCTGCTGGTGATGCCCTTTTTAATGCAACCCAGCATCCTGTTGGTTTCTTTACAGCTGCAGCACATGGTTCACTCATGTGGAGCTCCACATCCACCAAGACCCCAGGTCCCTTTCCCCAGGGCTGCTCTCTGGCCAGGTGGAACCCAGTCTCAGCTGTGTTCTTAGATTATGTATTCCCAGATGCAAGACCTTACATTTGTCCGTGTTGAACTTCATACAGTTCCTGCTAGCCCACTCGTCCAGTCCGTCCAGGTCTTCCTGGAGGGTGGCTCTCCCTTCTGAAGTGTCAACTACCCCACTCATTTTGGTGTCATCAGCAAACTTCGTCAGGGAGCTCCTGACCCCAACATCCAGATCACTGATGAAGATATTAAATGGTGTGGGGCACAATATTGATCCCTGAGGGACCCGACTTGTGACTGGTTGCCAGTTAGAGAATGAACCATTTACTACCAACCTCTGGGTCCTTAAAGAGCATCTCTGAAAGCATGGAGACATCAGTAAACAGATGTCCTTTACATTCAGTCATGAGTACCTGAGAATTGTTTTTTTGCTTAAAGAAAAAACTTAGCCTTCAATTATCTCTGAATTTAAAAAAAATTAAATTAAAAAAAACCCCTCATTTCTTGCAGTCACGATTCCTAGCAATACCATGTTGATCATTTGATTCTCACAAGGTGCACCCAGTCAGGGATGTGAGTTTTGGAAGTGGCAGTGGAAACCATGCAAGAGGAAGTTCTCCACCAAAGCAAACAGCATCAAGACCCCAGACCTTACAGAGGGCTGTGTCATGGATGTTCCCTTGGTAAAACATCACCTGACTGGAGCAAATGCCAAGACTGCCAAAAGTTACACAGGCTGTCTTGTACCCAGGCATGGTACAAGAAGTGTACACATCTTTTTTGAAAGCTGCTCGGTGCTTCTCCAGGCTGGGTCACACCACACACTCAAAGGCCAGCTCATACTGGGGTAACCATAGCTCTGAGTGTGGGCTATGTATGGTTAAAACTGCTTTAAGGGGGTTTTTTGGCTAACTGTAAAAATTAGTCTAAAGTTTCAAAGAGTGGGAAGAAAAAAAAAACCCCAAGTAACAAAAGCCCCAGCATGGCTGTCAGGAGTGCCACTTCTGTTCTTCAGAATGACGCTGTCATCCGTGCTGGTGGATGAAGCAGGACTGTCCCTAGCTCCTGTGTTGTGATCATCATCATCATCATCAACATCTTTGGAGTCACACACACAGCAGCTGTAAAACCACATTTGAAAAAACTGAAATCAACACAAAACAAGAAGCCCCGGCAGCTGATTACAGGGAAGCAATCAGAGCCCTTCTGAGGAAGGTGTTGGTGGGACCCTCTCCTCAAGAATGGCACAAGCTGGAAGTCAAAACATAACTCCCTCACCAAGTAAGGTTTTACATATAATAAAGCCAGCAAAGCCCACAGAAGCAGCCAAATATCAGGGCTACAAAATGGAGGGGCTGGAGGAACAACAGGGAAATTAACTTAAGAGAAGTCACCTCCTTCCCCTGACAAGCCAATGAGAGGAAAAAAACCAGTTCCCGAACACAGCGCCAGTGAAGACAAGAAAAGCAGCGTCCCATCCCTTCTGAGGAAAGCTGGCCGATGAGGAGCAAGGCCACCATATGCCAGAAGCAATCCCCCGTGGGACTTAAAAGATCATCCAAGACATACAAAAAGACAACAGACATAATTCCACCTAACGCTAATAAATATTAAAAGACTTTGGTACATTTTAGGAAAGGAAAACATTTAAGCTACCTCCAGCCTATTAGCGAAACTAAATGAAAAGATCACTTTATGAAAAAGGCAGAGCACAACCAATGTCTTTCAGCAACTTGATGTTTTTTCCCCCTGAATGACATCTTCCAGCGGCTTTACAAAAGAACTGAGAGGTCCTTCCAGGGGCCCTGCCTGTGACATCACACAGCGCCCCGGGAGCCACCACAGTGTGTGGCCATGCCATCTGCCACCACACATGATGCACCCCAGCACCACCTCATGCAGCTCCTCTGAGATGTCCTGCCATGGATGATGCTGGAGTGCTCGTAAAGAAAGGCTACAGCCTCATAAAACTGATAGGAGAAGGCTCTTACAGCAAAGTGAAATCCGCCTACTGCGACCGGCTGAAATGCAACGTGGCCATCAAGATAATCGACAGAAGGAAAACTCCTCGGGACTTACTGGAAAGGTGTCTCCCCAGGGAAATAGAGGCTTTGAGACGTTTGCACCACCCCTCAATCATCAAAACCTATGAAATTTTTGAGACATCAGTTGGGAAAGTGTACATAGTGATGGAGCTGGGGCAAAAGGGAGACCTCCTGGACTACATCAAGAACATGGGAGCTATGAAAGAGGAAGTCGCTTGCACGATGTTTCAGCAGTTGGCTTCTGCCATCAAGTATTGCCGCGACTTGCACTTTGCTCACAGGGACCTGAAATGTGAGAACATCCTTCTCGATGAACACCTCAACATCAAGCTGTCAGACTTTGGCTTTTCCAAATTCTTGTCTCAGGATGAAAACGGAGAAATTATTCTCAGTAAAACCTTCTGCGGGTCTGTTGCGTACGCAGCCCCTGAAGTGCTAGAGGGCATTCCTTGTGACCCCAGGATTTCTGACATATGGAGCTTAGGTGTCATCCTATATACAATGGTCTACGCTCTAATGCCCTTCGATGACTCCAATGTCAAGAAAATGATCAGTACCCAGAAAGAACACAGGATTTCTTTCCCCAACACAAAACACCTGACTGTAGAGTGTCAGGACCTCATTTACCACTTACTCCAGCCCAATGTGTCTCAGAGGCTGAGCATAGATGAAGTTTTGAAACACTCATGGTTGCAGATTTCAAACTCCGCGATCCCTGCCCTTCCGCCAGCAGCAGAGGAGGGTGAGCATTCTCAAAACCTGCATGAAGGAAAGCCTGAGCACAAGCAGCAAGCCCAGTCCTATTCTGCAGACAGAAAAGAAGAGGAGAAGGAAACAGGATCCTCTTAAGGATGGCTGGTTTTAGCAGTAACACAAAGTTGGTCTAACTTGTGAACTGCTGGTTCTCACCCTCATCTTCTCTGGACCCTTTCAGCAATAGTCCTCATCTTTTGCTTTACAAAGTACGGCAACAGAAGACACAGTACATCTGCTGAGGTAACTGAACAGCTTAACACCGTTACTCTCAAAAGACCTGTCTCTGATGTGGTTTGCAGGGATGAGAAGCTACTGTCAAAACACATTGGAAAGTTTCTTTCAGTGCTGCTGACACTTAACAGCTTTTAGCTCACGTTTCTCAAGTTCCTGACTACACCAGCTGCAGAATTCACACGCGCATCAACCACATTTTGGATTCAGCAACAGGGCAGGTTGTTAGGAAGTGTGAACTGATGTCTGAAGCCGTACACATACTGTTTTCCTAATGTACCAACTCTCTTGACAGGCTCGCTGTACATCCAAGAGCATCAGTTTAAAACCCACATAAATTAAAGTGAAGGCCTCTAAAATTCTGGGTCACGTCTCAATGTATGCATGGTTGTATCCCCTCTTCTGCAAAGTACAAAACCAAAGAAGTTAGACGCGCTGGAAAGAAGTCCAGTTCAACCTTTTAGGAAGGCTTATCACATTTTATAAATAGACATATCTGTACAGAAAAGTATTTAAATGCATGGCCACCTGAAAAAGAGAAATACATCTTTTAAAAAACTATTGGTGTTTTCCAAGAGTCCAGAATCTTCTCTGCCATTGCAGAAAGCATCCTTTCGCTTCAGCAGCCCCGTGCATCACACCCATGCAGTTCAAAGGGAAGTTACACCACAGCAGGAGATACTCTGCTTTCAAAAAGCACATCTCAGGCTATTTTAGCTATATAGTCTACAGTAGTGCTCGTCCCAGATCTTGTAATTGCTGGCTTCCATTCTGGCAGCTGGATCTAGACACCCCTTACTACCGATGGCTCACATCATCTAGATTCTGGACAGCTGAACACAGCCAGTTCACTATATAAGTTCACTTGCTGGTGACTGGAATATTCAGAAGAAATCAGATGCCTTCCTTCTTTTAGGAAGCTGCAGTAAATCATCTGTGATTGATGTAGTATCCTGAGATGCCGGCGTCTGAGACACTGTCCTAGACTGCGGGGTGCTTGTGGGTGTATGAGGTCCACCTGCTGGGGTCTTGTAACCAGGAGTTCCTGTGTGGGCTGGGGAAGGGGTATAGCTGGCTCGCAGGGCTTTGTCAGTATATTTACTTGCAGTCCTGTTTACCAGTCTTTGCAAAGCTGGTGACATTGCTGGGCTTAGTCCTTTTGGAGTGAGGCTGGAATAGAATAAACAGTTTTAAAAGATTTTATGGTAAAAACCTATCATTTATCACAAAGAGCATCAATGCTTCCACAGGTGAGCTTAGTGTCCACTCCCCTCACAGACCAGACCCACTGGCTGCAGAAGCCATTCTGCCTACAGGTAAATGCTGCCTGTCTCTCCAGAGACAAGTGACAGAGAAACCTCCTCCATCCCCCCCAAATCTGAGTGGCACTGCCTGCATTTTCCTTTGAGCCTGTTCTGTCCTTCCTGTGACCCAGTCAAGCAAGCCTTATGTCTCCTCTTTGCAATGAGGCAAGACACTGATCCAGATGTATTGCTGGGTGGCTGTAGGGCAGAACAGTGATGCTGACAAGAGGGAGCATCAGGGACAGCCACCAGCCCCCTTCCCTCAGGAATTAAGTTTTTTAATTTCTAAAAAGTTCCGAGTCTGACTGTACCTCTTCCTGCCTCCAGTAATCTTATAATTCCTCCCTTTCTATATGTGTTCGCTTAAATCTCATCAGAAAATACCCATTCCCATTTCTGCTGTCAGAACAGAAATCTCACCTGGCCAAGTTTTCTGATGCTTTTCGAAGTGCCTCCTGCTTCTTTGCTCGGTTTTTAGCTGCTGCTTCATTTGCCATCTTGAGTCCTAACCTCTCACGGCGCCCAGGCTCCAGGATCTATAAATGCATCACACAGTTCATTTACCAAGGCACTCGTATGAGCACTGCATAAATGAGTCAAAGCACCACCACAGTTGGATTCCAGCCTACAGGGATCTAAACCAGGAGAAGTGGGGTCAGCCCACAGCTCTCTGCTGCTACATAGAAAGCAGAGAGGACACAGAGAAACCTTCAACCTGCCTTAGCAAGTAACAAAAATGGTAAAACCAGTTGAGTCAAAGCAGCAGCCATTCATTACCTCTGGCATTTCCTCCTGCTGTCTCTCCTAGACAAACAATGTTACCTGTGTCTTGTCTAGCCTGGCCTGTAGCCAGCCAGCTCTCAGGCAAACACAGACACTGCTAAGCAGCAGCAGAACCAGTCAAGAGCTTCGGAGTCTGACAGAACAGAGGCACATACAGCAAATTACACCTGTCTTAAACTGAGCCTCTGACAGCTCACATTCAGTGACACCAGCAAGAGACAGGTGGCATGCGGGGTCACCTGGCATTAGCAAAGTCAGAGTGCCTTTTCTACTCTCAAGTGATACACCTGTGACAGCCAGAAGATCAAGACAGAGGAAAATCCTACATTTTCTACCCATTCATACCCTAAAATTAGAGAAATCAGGTGTATTCAGCATCCTCTGAAATCCCCTTTGACTAGGCCCATTACCAAATACTGAGTCTCACTCTCCTCCCAACAGTGTGTGTTCCATCTCAGGTACCTCCCCCAAGAAGCCTTCATGTAGTGCTGTGTCCACCTCCACCCTCCAAGCAGAGCCCAGATTAGTGTCAAAGACTGGGATACACCACCCAGAGATGTGTCACACCCCCACAACAACGATAATCTCTTAGTTACTCACTTGCCTTTCCCTTCTTAGTTCCCCTACCCCTCAAAAGAATGACTTGCTGACTCCTGACATGAAATACCTTGAAGGCTGGTCCAGGTGTTCTGTCCACATACGGCGTTTCTGAGCCTTCTATACGCAAAGGGGTGCTTTCAATTTCACCCCATGTCATAAAAGGAGACTCGTTCACACCTAAAAACAAATTTTAAAAGTCATGCTCATGCAAGACATTTGACTATTCATTCACCACAAAAAAATCCAGAGAAGCACATGATGAAATGCAGCAAAACCATCCACATACAAAGGAGCCCCTCCACTGCAGACGAAATAACAGCCAATGTTGAACAGTAACATGTGGTTCCTTTAAAAGGGTGTGACCTTAAACTCACAGGATTGCCTGTGGCTGTACCACCCTCTAGATTACAACACTCAAGCACTGTCCTTTCCACGGGTTTATTTTTCCATCTGGCAAGCTTTCGCTCAGTGACACTTTCATTTTTTCCTCGACGGTACGAGTTTTCATACAATAGCAGAGGGGAAGAGTCCTTCAACAGGGAATTAATCAAAAGCAAGGAAACAGGCAGAGGACTTAAGATACATATAACAGTCAAGCGTTCTCACAGTTCATCTTGAGGCTAGTCTGTACCAAACAGCAACTGCACCTGGCCTAACAGCTACAACTGCAGAACAGATTTTAAGTGCCCCATTAAGTCCTTGGCTAGAAAATCCTGCTGTCCAGGGTCTGGAGCAGGCATTTACAATGGGGAAAGGTGTGCTCCACATGCCACCTACAGGCTTTCCAGAGGAAAAGCCTCGGTATGTTCACCTTCTAGCATAATAACAGAGAGGGAAACACGATGACTAGAGAAAAACAGCTAAAAATTCAGATACCGCATTGCAACAGGAAGAAATCAAATCAGTTTGTTCTAACTGAAAGTATCCTGCAGCTAATACATTTGAACAAAAGGAATCTATAATACACAAATGTATTCAAAGGAAGAACCTAGATAGCAGTAAACCTGGGGGAAAACCGTAGGTTAGACTGTGAAGGAAGTGAGATACAACACATCCCTATGATCCAGGCTGAGCCATCACTCAGCAAGCTACTGGACACACCAACACAAAAGCTCCTCATTTTGAGAAATGAGCAACTACACTCGTTGGAAGGTTCACGTTTATGAAATGTTTGAATTCTTATCTTTAAGCTCTAGAGAAGCATCACCCAAGGATAAAACAAGCAGCCACAGCACCCCAGTTACCTAGGAAGGCTCAATGCCTTCTAGATGATTCCTGAGCAGTGGCACAGCAGCTTGCTCAGAGCCTCCGGGGTACAGCATGATTTCTCTTGCCAGTGTATTGCACTAGAACTTAAGCACTGCATTGAGCTGGTGTGCACAAGAAAGTCACCAGTTCATGAGACACATATGGATAGAAGGCTTACCTCCTTGTCTAAATCAACAATACCCCAGTGCTGAACAATCAGAGCATCAAAATAAGTGCAGTCACAGTCCCTTTACATCAGAAAAAAAAAAGGAAGAAGACCCTCTTACCAGGGGCAGGAGAGGGGGTAGCCACAAATCCATATCCATTCACTTTTGGAGACTCTTGGGGTATCAGCTCTTTCCCATCTGGACCCACTTTGCCCTGTTTGTACTGAAATAAAAAAGATAACGCCATTCATGTGGAGAAAGGTGTGAGTCAGCTGTATCTAGCACACACACATATTTCTCCTGGTTGATGAATAAAACCAACGTCTAACAAGGTTTTAGTTAAGAGTAGTAAAATTCAGAAGTATTCAGAAGTAAAATATCCAACCTGGGCATTAAGGGCTGCAGCTTGCTGGAGCTGGGACTTGCTCACAGCTTGACTGAAAGGGTCCTTCACAAAACGGGTGTTTCGATGGACAACTTCCCTGGGCTTCTTAAACACTTCATCCTTATCAGGTACACCTTGAAAAACAAAACGTCTGTTAAGAAAGGGCACAGGTAACAGTACACAGCGTGCTCTAAAGCTCTTGACCAACATGACACTTGCCATACGTTCCTACACAACACAGAATCCATCAGCAACTGCCGTGTGTATTTCTAGCAATTTCAAACAAAATTTGCACCAGATATACGTTTTGTAATATCTGAAATCCAGAAATTAAGATCAGATTTTGCAATCAGCTGCACAGGAGCATGATCCAAA